GCTTGATAGAGTTACCTCCTCCTGTTCACAGGTTGGGGTCATGATGGTGAACAAGTGTGCAAAGTTTCAAAGCCATATGTCAATGGACTTTGAAAATATTTGAACTATTACAAAAACTTTAACGTAAATTCTAAGTCGAAAAAGGGGCATAATTCTGTCAAAATGCTTGATAGAGTTACCTCCTCCTGTCTACAGGTTGGGGTCATGATGGTGAACAAGGGTGCAAAGTTTCAAAGCCATATGTCTATGGACTTTGAAAATATTTGAACTATTACAAAAACTTTAACCTAAGTGGTTACGCCGACGCCGACGCGGACGCTCGGGTGACTGCAATAGCTCTACTTATTCTTATCGAATAGTCGAGCTAAAAAGGGGCATAATTCTGTCAAAATGCTTGATAGAGTTACCTCCTCCTGTCTACAGGTTGGGGTCATGATGGTGAACAAGTGTGCAAAGTTTCAAAGCCATATGTCAATGGACTTTGAAAATATTTGAACTATTACAAAAACTTTAACATAAGTGGTTACGCCAACGCAGACGCGGACGCTCTGGTGACTACAATAGCTCTACTTATTCTTATCGAATAGTCGAGCTAAAAACAATGTTGCATCTAGAATTTAAAAATTATGGGGGATTGTCCCCCACTCAACTGAAAAATGTGGGGGATTTGAAAAAAATGTGGGGGACATACATTTACCTTACAATATGACGTACCGAAAATAATTCATTTATTTTACATTGAGGCATTTTTGACAGCTATCGTCCGCTTAACAACCGAAATAGAAAAAATAAAATATTGAAGAATACTACAATACACACGCGAGATGACCCAGTCGGCTGCTACAAGCGATAAAGTACATATTTTAGTCATTACCGCGAGTGAAAACAAACATGGTTGAAGCGTTCAAGAGACTATGGAGATAACCTGAATTAAGTTGAAAGGATCGTCAGATGCATGCGCGACTTGGCGCGCATTGACATCATTAAAATGCTCAATCTGCATAAAATATGCGCAAATCGCGCAATCGCCCAGCTTAGATGCAACACTGTTAAAATAAATAAAATATATATGAGCCGCGTTATGACAAAACCAACATAGTGCGTTTGCGACCAGCATGGATCCAGACCAGCCTGTGCATCCGCGCAGTCTGATCAGGATTCATGCTGTTTGCTTACAAACCCTATTACAAGGGCCATCCTTAAAAAAATGTTTGTTTGCAGTAACGCGACCGACTCACAAAATTTGCCCCTACTCAAATTTTTTTTTCATGGTCTGAATAATTTTTTTTTTTTAAATCAGAAAATTATGCCTTGTGCTTTGTTTTCGTTCTTTAAAAGGTTAATAGAAGAAACAAAATGTAGTTTTTATTGAATTAGAATTCAGTTATCAATCTATTAATTGTTACCAGATTATCAAAGCATATATTGTCTAGCATTTTGAAATTCCATGTTTATTCGGGAGTACAGTTTAATAAAAAAGAAATCAATTTAAAAACAAGATTGCATTTGAGAAAAATGCTATGCCACCGCATTAATACAACACTAAATAGTAGTGTGGGAACAGATATTTTTTGTTTCTATACAATTGAAGATTGTCATAATGCATAGATCCCTGACCTATCTAATTCTTATCATCAGATAAGTGGTTGAATCTATTGTTAATCCAATAAAAGATCAGAGTAGGAATATATCAATGCACTTGAGTCTGGTGAATTTGGTGGTGAAGGTCATATTTTCACACACCCTAAATTTCATGGACAACACAGTAAGACACTTTGTTAAAATCTAGGTCAGCTGATATCAAAGTTCACTTAACATCTTAATCTGTGCACATGGTTCAAATTTCATAGCCAAGAAAGTAGGTCACATCATCAAAATCTAGATCACCTGATATCAAAGTTCAATTTTACAACTTAAACTGTGCACATGGTCAAAATTTCATTGCTGTACATCAAAGGATAAGAAAGTAGGTCACTTTCCCCTTGGGCAAGGCAAAATTTTGACCCAAGGGTTTAATTCAAAACAATCTTGATACAGGTCCACCAAACAACATTTCAAGTCAAATATCTAAGTTGTAGCTTTCTCCCATTCAGAAAACATTTGTTTTATTTTCTGTTTTTACTATGTGTACATAATGACCCCAGGGCTATAATTTGAACAATCTGGGTAGAAGTCTACCAGACAATGCCTTATGCAAAATATCTAAGGTCTAGGCCTTTTGGGTCTTTACAAGAAGGTATTTTAAGTTTTTACTATATGTACATATAGTGAAAATCAATGACCCCCGGGGCGTGGCCGATTTTGACCCCAGGGCTATAATTTGAACAATCTTGGTAAGGGTCTACCAGACAATGCCTTATGCAAAATATCTAAGCTCTAGGCCTTTTGGGTCTTTACAAGAAGTTACTTTAAGTTTTTACTATATGTACAAAAAAGGAGTGAAAATCAATGACCCCCGGGGCGGGGCCAATTTTTACCCTAGGGCTATAATTTGAACAATCTTAGTAGAGGTCTACCAGACAATGCCTCATGCAAAATATCTATGCTCTTGGCCTTCTGGGTCTTTACAAGAAGATTTTAAAAATTTATTCTGATAATTCCTTTGGTTGTCTTGGCAACCAGATTTCTGCATGGAAAGAAATTCTTTGAACAACTTTGGAAGTTATTCGCCAAAGGATCAATCCTGCCAAGATTGGTTGAAATTGGACTAGTGGTTTTTCACAAGCAGATTTTTTAAGTTCACAATATAATCTATATAACACACACACGCACACACACACAAACAAACAAACACACACACACACGCACACACACACAGGTGAATCGCTATATGCCACCGCATCGCAGATGCTGCGGTGGCATAAAAAAAAAAAATCGACCTACCTACCCACCTTGAAAATTCTGGGTCGGGTTACTGCAAACAAACATTTTTTTAAGGATGGCCAAGTAGAGAAACTGATAGCGAACAGCATAAATCCTGATCAGACTGCGTGGATGTGCAGGCTGGTCTGGATCCATGCTGGTCGCAAACGCACTATGTTGGTTTTGTCATGACGCGGCTCATATATAAATCAAACAAAAAACACAGTCCATGAGTTAACTTATTTAATGATTTGCCAACTGGTTTCTCTTATGATCATTAGGGCAAATGAGATGTCGCATAGTAACAACGACTTTTGTGTGTACATGTACATCATACATGTGTACGTTTTACTGTGAAATTTATAAAATAGAAAAATATAAAATTTCAAGTCTCTTTTTGAACATTTATTTAAATGTTCACTTAAAAGTAATTATCTTGTTGATGGGTCTCTGATCTGCTGAGCATGAATAGTACTTCATATAATCTATGTCAAACAAGTTAACTGTTTGAGAAAAATCCTCAGCAGGGTTCTGCCATTTTAAAAATCTTGGAATGGTTCTTTATTTGAGCTATATTTAGAATACAGGATGCTTTTGAAAAAAAAAATTAACAAAAGTGTCTACACAATGCCAACTGTTGCTTAAAGATGCATCAGTCTCCTAGCTTAAATGACACTTCTGGTACAAGTTTTATTCTTGTTATTAAATCATAAGAGCTTTCTGCGTCATAGGTATTGCCTATTTTCATGTTATATGGTGCAACTTCATGTAATTAAAGCTGTGATTTAACATAAATCATGCTAACAATCAAGGTATTTAAAAATTGATTTTAGACATATCTGTCAACAAATTTATTATATGTGGTGTCTTAACCGAGTCTGCAATTCTTATGTTATTTTGTTGTGATTAATGCTTCCGAGGGATCACTTTGTTTCCAGTATTTTGTACTTCACAACAGCAGGTGTCAAGTGCTGTGTGGCAGCCGTAAAAAGATGCCCCGTACTTCACTTCAGTGTTGTTATATTTTCTGGTCCTTCGGGATCATTGATGCCAACACTATAAAGTGTTGATAATTGAGTACCGCTCAAGCCGGTGCTAGGGGGCGTGAGGGATGTTGCACTTATTCATTATCCCTCATGTACAGACTCAATCAAACCGAGTCTGCAATTCTTCTGTTATTTTGTTGTGATTAATGCTTCCGATGGGTCACTTTGTTTCAAGATTTTTTTATTTGTAATAAACACCATAAAATGCTTAAAATTCATTTTAATTTCTAAATGGTAAAGGATACCCTTCCCAGATGGAATAGTGTATTGTAATGGCATTTGGTTCTAAAAATACCCATTCATTCGACAATTCTGAAACTGAAAGTTTCATACTATGACAATATGAAAAACTGCATGACTTTCAACTGTTCAACCATTTTGTCTGGGTCAGAATCAAGAGAATGTTTGTAAACTAAAATAATTCTAAATCTATCACAAACTGTTATTCATTTCTTGTTTAAATGCTGCTCAAGATTAATAATTCTCATACATAAGAAACCAAATATAATCATTACCTATGCTGGTTCACCTACGTCACTGTGATATTCATAGGTCTGACATTACAGCTGTTTTTCTAGTTTTTCCACTTGTTGTACGTTTTGATTTACCAAACACAGAAGTGAAAAAAGAAAACAACATTTATTTAATGTGCTTAAAATAAAAGGTTAAAATAGTCCAAGTATGTCTTTATGGAGAATATATTTTATTTACTGGTTCAATTAACATTTGTTTCATATATTGAAGACCCACTGGCCACTACCAATTAGTATCTGCTGTCTGTGTAGTTACGATTCTTCTAGATTACACATCAAACAAGAAGTAATCTGGTATTAGGAAAGCTTAAAACGATTGGTTAATTTTCGCTGTTTCGTCCAATGAAAAAGGGGTTCGTTTCTTATTAGGGACTATCTTGGGTACACTTCTTACTAATTATCTTTGTTAAGAAAATACATGCATATAAGTCTACTCGGAATGTTTTGCTGATTGTAATGGCAAGTCATGATTTATGTTATATTTTCCAATATTTTTTAAACAATTTTTACCACATATTGGGACTACTAAAAAAATGTAACTTAAAATAAAGACAGCTCCCGGATATGGAGAAGTCAAGAATTGCCAGAAAATGCATAATACATCTGTTTTTATGGTATAGCTACATATGTGAAAGATCTTTTATTAAATTTGCTCTTCCCTGATAATGCAACTAGTATTGTCATTTTTCTATGGTAATGTAACGATTCGCCCCACTGACTATTCGCCCCATAATTTACTCAACCCACTTAGGATGATACTATTGTTCTTATTTATTATTTCCAGCAAATTGTACAAATAAAAAGAACTTGTAATAACTATTATATTGAATTGTGTTTTAACTGTCGAATCTTGACTTTAAAATACACATGTCATTCAATCATAGAATAACTCAATGATTTAAATTAGAAACATCTTTGGTCAGTCAGGAATCAGGGTCAGCTCGGCCCTAAACAGCGTACTTGCCCCAAGTCAGCTTGGCCCTATTTCAGCTCAGCAAGCGTCAACTCGGCCCACTTTTCAATTTATTAAAATTTTGTTTTGTTTTGTTGGAACCACATAATTAACTGATTAATATTTGGTAAAGATGTTTTCTTAAATTAGCATTACATTTTTGGTAATGAAAGCATTTTTAATGATTTGGGTAATGAAAACTTAATACAATCCATCCTTGGGACAAAGCAAAAAACAACCATGCCAAGTTGGTATAGGGCAGAGTTGACTCTACTGTCAGTCAGCCATGTTTTGATTGAGAGCTTAAACGGAGAGCACAATGATACTGTGTTATGTAAATTGATGGCCCTTTGTGACTTCAGTATAATATTTTGTAACAGAATATGATGTCACTAGTTTTAGCAGACGACCTTCACTTGTTGTAAACAGTATTTGGTGGCATTCAGTGTGTAAAGAAACACATTTTCTGATAACACCGGAATGGGCAAGGACGCGGTACCCGCTTTGATGGACCTTTCCAATGTTTACAGATTTATGTAAATTGGCAAATTTGTTATCCAATTGCTACACTGAGATAATACATAGTGACTGGTTGACCTGGTTTGCACAAAAGAACACATGGTTTTGTTTGTGATACTGTTTGTGAGCAGTTGACCTAGCAATGAATGGAAAAGGAGTGGCTAAATGTTCCGCTATGAAAAACCGGAAAGGTCCATTACTATAACAGCTTAAGTGAAGATAAGCCTGACTTTTGGACAATTCTCCCCACTTTATAATATGAAAGTAGGCAATGCCTATGGATGGGGACTTATTAAGAAACAATAATTAATTTGAAAATCAAAGGCTACATAAACAACCACTAATTCCATTCTTTTTTTTCTTTTTTTGCCTTGAACTGTCTGCAGACTTAAACTACAATACACACACACACACACATCTCAAGAATAACAACAAATGAAAGCAAAACCCTAGGATTCATCAAACAGAATTTACCAGTACATACAAAAAATGAATAAGTAAAACAACTATGTTATAAATCCCAATTAAGTCCCCAGCTAGTACCCTAATTAATTCAGTGTGAACGGTTTGACCCATGTTACAAACTTTTTTTTCATACTGTCAAACCGTCTTAAATTATCTTGATGTCTCTTTTACAAGTCTTATTAGTTGGACTACCCAGCTAGAAGAATGTCAGATGTTTCACTTCCCACACATTTCACTATTGAGCCATTTAACTCCTAGCATTTCACTCCCACCTTGTCAAATGTATCGATGTTTGACTCACATTTTTTGAGATGTTTGACAGAAAAGTAAACACATTTATTTTAATTTCAAATGATAATTAGATTTATTGTTGCATTTTTTTTTTTTGAGGGTACAGTATTGTGATTTTTGAAGAAAATAATAATTTTAATGAATTTTACACAAATATTGAAATTTTAAGGAACCCTCCTCACCGTCTAGTACAGAAACGGTTTGCCAAGATGAGCATGGTATGTTTAGTGAAACAAACGAACTCATTATAAACATTGGACAGATTAATGGGTTATTAAACAAAGCATAATTAACTTTTGATCTTTTTTATTCAAACAATATACATGATTTACTCAATGATAAACTCGTTGGAACAGTGCCAAAACTATATCTATTATTAGCAACAATACTTCTATTTATAGTAACAAAACACAAAAAAGTATCCCTAAATAACAGTACTTCAGTAGTTAGAATTTGATATTTTTTTAAGCCTGATGAAGAGTATTGTATTACTCGAAAATAGTAGCCAATAAAAACTTTTTAAAAATGACCTGGTGTTGTACGTGTGTTCCTCACCTACTTTATTCATTATTTTATAAATACTGAAATTGATAATTGCACATTAATTTTTCTGCTTATCTGTATAAAAGTGACTACAGTTAACTTAGATAATTCACTAGAGTTAATAAAAGTGTGCCACCAGGGGGTTAAGGGGCTCAGCCCCCCTCCCCAGACACCCTGGCCTAAAAAAAAAAATTCTTATCATTCTTATCAAAAAGGCAAAAGGCTCATTAAAAGAGTTAAATATTAGCAAAAACTGTCTGCAGACTTACATTTATAAGAACTGGCTTAAGAAAAATGTAAGGTACTAAATCCTTGTATATTGGAGCCTAGACCCCTGCTGAGTTTCCTGTCATAAAATTGTTTCAGTCATAACAATGTATGCTTCTAGGCAATTTGTCAACATAATGTCATAGACTATATACTCCTCGTCATGCTGATAATTCACGGAAGGGCACCTGAGGTCTTCCTCCACCAGTAAAGCTGGACATCGCCAAATGAAATAAATTGTGTCGGTGTAACGTAAAACTCAATCAAACAAACAAACACTTCATAGATTACTCTTGATCAGTATAGAGTGTCTTACATGTACATAATATGGATTGAATTAGCCTATATACTCTTTAGTAGATTGAAAAATATGTACTGGTAATTTAAAAAAAGCCCCCTTGAATGTGATTATTTTTTTGTATATAATATATATATACAGCTAGTTTTAGCTCTTTATATAAATATAATGTGTAAAATTTTTATCAGAAAGCGTTTCTAAAGCATTGCTTTTTAGTGTTTATATGTTATACATTATTGATAGGGCTTTTCCATTCTATAGCATCACCATTTAAAGGCATCTTCCCATCTGGAAAATTCTTTTAAAATCATAGTTTTACCTAGAAATCAGGTAACATAAAGTTTATTTTCTTCCACTTTTGCAAAATAAAATGTAATTTCAACACAAATTTAATAAAGTCTGAAATTTTTTGAAAAATATATATACACTTCCATTTCAAAATGTGCCCCATAAATGCACCAGCAGCCACCAATTTAACACGTAGATTTCATTTTTTTCCTGGGAGAGTACAACATATTCAAAGACTATATACATGTATTTAACTTTAACATTCTTACTAAGAAAAATGATTTAGAACACGGTGTTATGATGATTATTAAAATTGCACAAATCATCATTGAACTATGGCTAGTTATCATCAATTTTGATATTTGGAAACCAACAGTTAAAAAAACCAATTTCTGCTCTTTATTTCACAAATTTAACAAAACATTTAACCTATCATATTTATAATCATAAATTAATGATTAATGATTATTTTGAAGTGGGGCAAATTGTCACTTAAGTGAGGGTGAGTCACTTTGAGGCCAGTCAACAGTATCAATTCTTTTCAAATTGGCATTTTGACTTTAAAGTATGCAGAATTCATGCAACATCCAACGCTGAATCAGTTAAATTACTCATGATTTGTTCTTAATCAAGGCAGAGGAAGCGTTTAATACAAATTCATCAGGGTCCTTTTTAACTTTCAGATTTGAAAAACACAGAGTGCCAAAATGGCTTATCTTGTGATAGTCCATGTACCATATACACCTTTGAATTTATTACAAGAAAAGGAAGCCAAGGAAGAAATAAAGGCTGTAGAAAAATTGAAAGAAATAAAGGCTTTAGAAAAATTGAGAGAGGATAATAATCTAAGGACAGGTAATGAAAACTTTGTTCTTGCTATTTTTTCTGCAAGTTTTTTGTTAAGGAAGACACAGGGGTGCTATCATCGATAGTGAACTAACTATGTGAGCAGTCAGGCCGGGACCCGATGCTGTTGATTTCAAGAATTTTTATATTGAATTACATATGTATTACATAAATTATATACTACAATCTATAGAATTTAAATTAGGGCAAGTGCATAACATATACTTAAGTTGGAAAAAAGATATATGTAATTTTTTTTCCTTTGGACAAAAGTTTATATATTCCCAGCACATTCAGCTCATCACAATTGTAACAGTGATTTTTTTTTTCAATTTTCAAAACAATCTGTGGCTTTCTGAAGGCCGAAATATAGTACGGTAAATCAGAAAATGGGGGAAATCTGAAGTCAAATTCCAATAGCAATTCAAAGAATTGAATATACCCACACATTTTATACAATTTTAAATTTCAATTCAATTAAGCATGCATGGTACAAAGCAGAGGCTATCTAAAAGGGACTTCTAGCTGATATAAGTGAGCTGCTGTTAAGTCATAGTTTTGGTGAAGAACTGCACGGGGCATTTCAGGGGAAAATATAAGCATATTTGGGGGGAAATACATCTATTTTGGACTAGGGGAAACAGTCATTATTCGAATGTAAAATACAGGAAAAAATCACTGTGTAAGGGGTATTACTGTAATTAGATTGTAGGCCAACTTGCCATCTGTCAGAAGCATAACTAGACAAGGTACATGTGTATCAACTTTAAACTATAAATAAAGATTGATAGATCTACATGTATCCCATTGAGAAGAAGTGCAATGCCCAAGAACCATAATGCTCAGTTGCATAATTTTAAAGTTATTTCCTTTGCATAATTTTAGATTTATTGCCTTTTGTAAATGCCTAAGTATTTAATAAGAGAAAGACGTTCTTTACTCAGAATTTTACTCTGCCAAACATGCAGGTCATACATTTAATATCTCTATTGTTTCATTAAGTTGATAGTGGCGTTGAAAGTTTACTGGGTCAAGAAAATGATGTTCATAAAGCTGTTGAGGAACAAGAAACAGTTGATGACGAGTCAAATGAAACAAATGACAGGGTGGAAACATTAGCTGAGAAGGTAGAAACACTTGCTGCTGATTCCAAATCTCTAGAATCAGTAAGTGAAAGCTCAGCAAATAATGATTCAGGAAACAGATATGCAGATGAAGAAAATAAGGAAGAAACACTGTCTAGAGGTAATTTAAAGATACTTGATCGATTACATAATAGATTAACTTAAAAATAAACTCCTTACCAGTACTGGTAAAAATGGGAAAGATTTATGCTAGTATAGAAGTTTTAGTTGATATTATATGATTATAAAATGATAAGACAATTAATAATTGCTCTGTTATAAGTCTTGTTTAAATCTGCCTGAGTAAGTGTTGATCCATATTAAACACACACATGGTAAAAATTTAAGCTATTTTCAAGTAAAAATAGCATTCAGGGCAGAGATTTGTTGAGGTGTTAATTACACTAGCAGATGCTTGTCGGATATGATCCTGTAAAAATATTGACAAGATACCAATATGCAAAAATATTGACAGATTGTTATGCTTACAGTTCAATCAATACAGTATAGAAATTATTGTTATAGTAAATATTTTGCAGATAATACAGATGTAGAAAAAGATGAAACTATAGAAGAGATAGAAATGAACAAAGTTCCTCAGTGTGACACAGAAAAAGAAGTTTCAGAAGATGCATCTATCATAGAACCAGAGACAGATTCTGTCAAAGAAGATCTTGGAAAAGTTGTGGAAAACAATAAAAGTGACGGAAGTTCTAAAAGTGAAGGTGATGAAAGTTCTAAAAGTGATGATGCTCCTTTGACACCTTTGTTTCAACATGTTCCTATACATGTGGTACGTGAAACTATTAAATAGGGTTGTTATTGTTTTTTTACTAGATCATTATTATATTTGTTTTTCTTTTAATAGCAATAATGTTGATGTTTCATCTGATGATTTGATATTGCTTAGGGAGATAACTCTGACTGACTGACACTTAGATTACCTCAACACATTACCTCAACACTTGGTCAGTGTACTTGTTCTAACATTTTTTCCCAACAAGCATGCAATCACGTAGTAATAATATGAGCAGTAGAGACTATGATGATCTTTTCAAATTTGATAAATATTTTAATGTGTTTATGTTAACCCAGACCTTCTCCTAGCTCTTTTGGAAAAAAGTACCTAGCTCAGTTTGCGAAATTTCATGTTGTAAAATTACTGGAATGAACATCTGAAAATTTGTTAGTTTGAATATTGGGAGTTTCAGTTCAATTAGGAATTTGTTTTAAAGATTGGGGAAAAAATAAACAAATTTGCCTTTGGATATGGGTCTGAAATTCTGACCTGTGGTGACATTGAGAAAAGGCCTGTAACTTCAATTTTTTGTTGACAAAAACTGCCTCAAAAGATTCCTTTCATCAAACTACTAGTATCAGAAGGTAGTTGATATTGTCTTGAACTTCACAGTTATAGAGATTAAATAGTGATTAAAAAACGTAACTCATTACTTTCTCTTTATAATACTTATTAATTCTTGTCTGAAGTATATCAGTGATTGTCTTTAGCATAACTTGCACATTATTAATTAGTCATTGAGAGGCTATTGGTAGAAATTCTCAAACTTTTCTGGAGAGAAACATCATATGGTTTTACCAATTCTTGTTTTCAGAGAGTTGAGAAAGAATTAATAAGGATGGAAGTGGACAATGTTGACATAACAACTGTAGGGAATGGAGCATTCCAAAAGGTAACTAAACACTAGAGATTGACTAAACACAGGATCTTGTGTCCATATATAAATATATAAGTAAACCAATTTTTGTCTGTCTTAATACACAATTTCTTTTAAGAATATTCTCTCTAACCACAGATAAGATTTTGACTAACCTTCACATAAATGATGAAGTGGCTGTCAGCAAATGTTGCCTAAATGGTTCCAGTGTGATACACCACCAACTAAAGGTCAAAGAAGCTGAAAAGACTTGAAAAATAAAAAAGTTTTATAATTCTATTCCTTTTCTTTCTTTTTATACGCCCGTTTGAAAAACGGGAGGTATTATGGGAACGCCCCTTGCGGGCGGGCGGCGTCCAATTTTGTCCGGAGCATATCTTCTACATGTATGGAGGGATTTTAATGAAACTTCATAGAAATGTTCACCACTATGAGGAGCAGTGTCGCGCACATGAACCAGGTCTCTAGGTCAAAGGTCAAGGTCACACTTAGAGCTCATTGAAAAATGCTTGTCCGGAGCAAACCTTCCACATGTATAGAGGGATTTCAATATTACTTGGCACAAATGTTTACCATTGTGAGGCGGAGTGTTGCGCGCAAGATTCAGGTCCTTGCGGCCAAGGTCAAGGTCACACATAGAGGTCAAAGTTCAGATAAAAATATGAAGATGTGTATATGGACCATTTAGTCATCATTTATTGAGGGATTGTAACACAAATGGTCATTATCAAGACTATGGCTGTGATACATATAATTTAGGTCAATATATACAAGGTCAAGGTCACTAAAGATGATGAAATATCCAGATTTTGTCCGGAGCATATCTCCTACACGCATGGAGGGATTTTAATGAAATTTCATAGAAATGTTCACCATTATGAGAAGCCATGTCACGCACATGAACTAGGTCAAAGGTCAAGGTCACACTTAGAGTTCATTGAAAAACGTTTGTCCGGAGCAAAACTTCCACATGCATAGAGGGATTTCAATATAACTTGGCAGAGGCGGAGTGTCGCGCACAAAATTCAGGTCCCTGCAGCCAAGTTCAAGGTCACACATAGAGGTCAAAGTTTAGATAAAAATATGAAGATGTGTATAGGGACGATTTAATCATCATTTATTGAGGGATTGTAACACAAATGGTCATTATCATGACTACGGCTGTGACACATGTACTTTAGGTCAATATATGCAAGGTCAAGGTCACTAAAGATGGTGAAATATCCAGATTTTGTCTGGAGCATATCTCCTACATGTATGGAAGAATTGTTATAATACTTTATGGAAATGTTCACCACCATGATATGTATTGCTCCATGCATGATCCAGGTCAAAGGTCAAGGTCACACTTAGAGCTCATTGAAAAACGCTTGTCCGGAGCAAAACTTCTACATTCATAGGGGGATTTCAATATAACTTGGCACAAAATGTTCACCATTGTGAGGCTGAGTGTCGCACGCAAAATTCAGATCCCTGCGACCAAAGTCAAGGTTACACATAGAGGTCAAAGTTCAGATAAAAATTTGAAGATGTGTATAGGGACCATTTAGTCATCATTTATTGATGGATTGTAGCACAAATGGTAACTATCGTGACTACAGGTGTGACACATTTAATTTAGATTAATATTTGCAAGGTCAAGGTCACTGGAGATGATTAAATATCCAGATGTTGTCCGGAGCATATTTTCTACATGCATGGAGGAATTTTAATGTTACTTTTATAGAATTGTTCACCACCATGAGACGTAGTGCCCTGCACATGAACCAAGTCTCTAGGTCAAAGGTGAAGGTCACAGTTAGAGCTCATAGAAAAACGCTTGTCTGGAGCAAAACTTCTACATGCATAGAGGGATTTCAATATAATTTGGCACAAATGTTCATCATTGTGAGGCTGAGTGCTGTGCATAAAATTCAGGTCCCTGCAACCAAGGTCAAGGTCACACATCCTGTGCATATCTTCCCTACTGATTTGTTTTAAGGTTCATTTAACAACACAGTGCCAAGAATAAAAACTTGCTTGCTAGATAACACTTATCCATAATGCCCCCATCTCCATCTAAAGCTTTCGTAAACGGGCGTATTTTGTGACTATGGCACCCTTGTTTTTATCTATGATACATGTAGCTTTAAACAGAGATTGTTCATGACATCAAGTACTAAGTTTAAGATATACACATTATTTTGAACTTGAAAATGTTTCATTCTTAAATCAAACTACATGTATTAACATGGAAGTTGTGATTATAATTTTGAAGTTATGTAAATTTCTGCAGAAATGTAATTTTTCAATTACGCCAACTGGTACCCCGTCGAAAATACCAGTGTTTATGTTATTACATGCTTAAAATTAACTCTTGAAGCATCAAGTTTGCTTAAATACATGTTTATGACCTTTCAGTTTTCTCTAGCATTGACTTAACATTTGAATTGAATTGCTGCGGTTAATTGGCCATACCATGTTTACATTTTACATATGAGGGACATTCATAATAGTTCCCAGACTAGGGTCGTATCTAAGCAATAATTAAAAAGTTTACACATCAATGTTTTATCATATTACTGTTCATTAACTTTAATTGTAATTTTACTATTTGATTTTATGTTGACAGTTTTCGTTTGTACAAGAAGACAGTGATAAATGTGAGAAGATTTTAATCAGACTAAGGGGTATTGGTGTTGGATTAACAGCAGGAACATCTGTCAGGTAAAATACATAAATTTTTTATCTTGTATGTAATATAATAAAATATTCTGTTTGATGTTATGTCTATAAAAACAACTTGATATATGTTTTATTTATTATTTATTTTATTGTGAAACTTTTTATAAACTTTTTATTTTAGGAATTTGACTTAACAACGGTTTTGTTGGTTTGATGCTAAAAATTAACCACTCCGGTCTTGTGGTCAAATCCTACGCATCAAAACTCCAAACCAGTGTTAAATAGCCGATAAACACTGTTGACACCGATATTATTTCTTAAATAGAACATCTGAAAGATAATCTTGAGTGTTAGTGTAAGTAAAAGCCATGAAATGATAAAACTTTTGGCATAAAATTCGAAAATAATTCTAAAAAGTTATTAGCTTTCAGTTGAATCCAGGATTTTCAACCTTACTGTAATAATTTCAGTGTGTTTCCATCAAGTCTACATGATAGTGTTCAGTCAGAAGTTGAAGACAAACTCAGCACTATTGATGAAAATTCACCAGGGAAAATTAAATCTCAGTAATATATTTTATGTTGATTCAGAACTTACATAACCATATTGTTCTATTAAATGAGAAATGAAATACAAAGAAAATGTATTTGATCAAATATTATTGACGCCAGTTAGTTGGAGTCATTGAGCACTTCACTGCTATAGGTTTGAATCAAGTCATGATGTTGATTTAACATGTGTGGATCTATCTTTATGATAATTTAGATGAAGTTTTAGAAGGTCGGTGGTTCTTTTTAGTTGCCGCATTTTGTCTTATGTATAGAGTGGGCACCAGGATATTTCATCTCCCAGTAAAACTGGAAAGTCAACATATGAACTTGATGCGACCTGAATAGTGTTAGTCTTACATAAAGGCCTATAAGAAAAAGAACACATATTTTTTTAAATTTTTACTTCTTCAACTGAATACTGTGAATTTATTAGTTTTAAAACATAATGCTATATTGAAAATTGTACATTTATTTCATATAAAACCACAAGAAATAGAAGGGTAGACCTGAAGTGTTAGATTATTTTGCAGCAGTTAACTTACATATAAAACCCAAAACAAACAAATTATATTTCCAAGATGATCCAACATGACAGTCTGTTCTAGCGGTGACATGGCCTTAGTGGTTAACATGTCGGACTAGTAATCTATTGATCTCTAGCATCATGGGTTTAAACTTTGTCCGGGGTTTTGAACAAGAAATTTTCAAGGAAAGGATCTGAGAGTGTTTCTATAAGCTTATAGATCCATACACAAACAATAATAAATTCTGCATAAACTAATAAGACATCTTAACTCTGAAATTTTCTCTTGTTTTTATATAACAGATACATCTACAACACTTCATTTCTGTTTATCTTATATATTTTATCTGTCTATAACAAAAATCTGTAATACTTAATCTTCATCTTTCAGAACCATTATCAGGTATAAATGACATTGTACAATTGATATTGTATAGTAGTGCATATAACATTTTAGATATAATATATTGTTAGTTATAGTTATTTACATGCATATATGCAATGGCATCATGGGTGCACAATGTAGCATGCCTTTTTGTATTACAGAAGGAACCATGTAAATTTAGATGAAGTAAAACTGTAGAAACTTATATCCTGTATTTACTAACAAGTCACTTGTTTTGTTGAGATATGGAGGTTTTTTAGTCAATATGTAAAATGCAAAAAAGTAAACCTTGTTTACTTTTAGCCTGCTGTCAGCAACTGATTTTTCGTATGTGACCAGTCTAGACGAAGATCAGCTGGCACATCCATGCTGTCTGATCATGGACTGCACTAGTCATTATTAAGTCAGTAAATGCATTACTGTATTCTGAATTCTTTTTACAAAGTTTAAATAGTCTTGTCCATATTAAGATATAGACATGTCCATTTAATATATCTAGCATGGTTAAAACATATGACAACAGAACATAGAAATGATCAGTTCTGTATACAAACACATCAGTTTTTATTAAATTACATGTTTTATTAACAGGTATACAGTGTATCTTATTGAAAGATAAATACTATGCTCATCCTTGAGTATATTTTAATCACAGAAATGTATTGATACCTATTAAATTCTTACTGAATATGTCTAATTTGGAAAAAAAAAGAATGAATAAACTATATATGGGAAGCTGTGTTCCCTATTACAGGTCAAGTAAAGTTGGTCTTTTCTTAAAAAAAACTGCCAGTTTGATTTAATGACACTACATATTCATATTGTGATCCCACATAGTGTGTAGAATTTTAAACATAACATATCTACTTTGTGTGAAGTCCAAACATGTTTATTTTATTATTGTTATATTAACATACAAAGAGACTGCTTGGCTATTATCAATATTTTCTATTATAAAATTTGAGCATATTGTATCTTTAAGGGAATAAATGTTTCAAGGTTTTGTATCCATAAATGCAATATGCATGGTTTGAATTTTTTGCTTATGCTTGCAGTTATTTAATAATAGCTTTATTGGTTAAATAAAGGATATTATATATATTTTTAAATCAGGTGCCATGTGCCATAAGAGTAAGTTGGGGAATAGGCCAGTCCTTTTTTTCCGTTCAATCTTAATTCAGCATGATCAGTTAATGCACATCTGAGAACTAAACTTACTTTCAACTTGCAGCTATGTGTTCTTCTGTGAAACTATGCATGAAAATATTAATCAGAAGATCTGCTTTTTTTATCCATTTTGAAAAAAATTGTGCTGTCTTTTTATTCTTCTTTCTTACAAAACTATGTTGTACTTATATTAGCTTAGTATCTTTACTTCCCTAAAAACCAAAGTTGTTAATATGTATTGTAAAAATTCGGCTTTTTGTGTCAGAGACAAAGAAAAACAGAAAGTAATGATACTAACAGCTTATTCATTGGTTCAAGTATTTCATAAGCTTGAATGATGTTTCTCTTATTTATGCAATATTTACTTGTTAAAAATTCACTTCTCAAAACATATTTAAATCAAATGCATGATATAATATGAATTTATGCACTTATTGTCAAACCACCAAATTTTAATTGCTTATTTGAATCATTCATGCCAAACTAAAACTTGTTGTTTTTAACATACACTTTATTTCAATATTTTTTATGTAGTAGCAATAAATATTCAATGTATTTAGTTGCAATGCATGTTTCAGTGAAGAAGTTGAACAAAAAGAAAGCCAGTTTAAGAAATCTGTGAAGTCAAGGCTTCTAGTAGCTCAGGTACATTTTTCTTTTGGAATACACAATAGATTAGAAATCACACTGCTGTAAATCTAACTTAGTCGCTTTAAGTGTCAACACTAAAATTTTACACCAGCATGCTAAGTAAAAGCCAAAATCATCTCAACAAGTGAGCAGCATGAAAAAAGCTTATGCCATCTTGCTGATATACTAGTAATAGCAAAAGTTTTAAAGAAGAAGTGGCACTTGTACAAAATATAACAATAATTGCTGTTCAGAATATCACATGTCTGATTGAAGCAAAAAGACATTCAGTGAAAATGTTTAGTGTTGTTTCACAATTTAATAAATTTGTTAAATAGCAGTTTGTCATTGTAAAGCTAACCAGAGCACAACATGCTCGAGGTGAGTTATTATGATCACCCTATGTCTGGCCGGATTAAGGAAGATCTCACCCTTAACTGCTTAGCCAAACGTGATGCAACTGTACAGGAATGATCCTTGAATGGTCCTCTATAAAAAAAATTGCTCCAGTGGTTTTGACAAAATAGAATAACTTACTTAACCACTTGATAGATTTTGATAAAACTTTAAGATAGACAAGAAAACATTTTTTGCAAAAATATAAATGTGATATTGTAAATTGCAATATTTGTATAAAAATAACATATTTAGCTAAAACTGATTGAAATTAATTGTTTAAAACTATATTATATACATGCACTTCTTGTCTTACTTCAGGTTGTTAAGTCTGTGACAGCCAATGCTTTGTTCACATTTGATTACTTAGTTTTGATTATTTTAGCAAGGTAAGAATCATTATACATGTAGCATAGTATTTGGACTGTAATCTTTATTATTATTTCTTTTGTGACAGTAGCATGAGTAACTGACTTTCTAAGGTTGGTTATCTATTCATCCAAGCACAGCCCTTTGTGTTATGCTTGAGTGTTATTGCATGTGTTAGAAATTCACTTTGTGATAAATCATCTCTGCACTATGTGAGCAAATTTTATAAGGAGACAGGCAACAACGCTGGTCAACATGGCTAATATATAAAGATCTAGACAAATTGAAACAAAGAATTTATCATTAAAAATCTACAGATAAACCTGGTCATATGGGATGTGACTCTGTATAGTTGTGAATGTGTAACCAGAAAATGTGGATAATTCCATTAAAGAGAACATGATTTCTTGGATGGGGTTGTCAGCTGCTATTTTACTAGTATTTTAGTGTTGTATTTTTATATGCAGCAATATTAAACTTGTTTCAATGTTTCATAATTACACTGTTTTACATATACCATTATATTTACAAATGCATTCATGTCCAATTAAAATTCACAGACAAATGGAATTCCTCATCACGGACACACACAAACATATTGTGCAGTACAGATGAATAAAATTGCAGCCTTACTCTATTAATGTTTTGATAAAGCACTATTTTTGTCAGTTCATGCTATATTCACTTACTTGTGTATTTAATAGTGTATCATATACTAGAAATATAGAGAAAAGTTTGTTTGAGAATGATGCTGTATAGAGATATATACAATCAAATTGGTATTTAAATTTCAGTATTATAGCTTGTATTGGTCTGGTAGAAAACAGTTCTGTTGTACTTGTGGCAAGCATGCTGATTTCACCTTTGATGGTATACTATTTTATATAATTATTGTGGTTTGTTACATTAAATCTTTTTACAAATTTGAAACTGATATATCTTAGTTCAACAGAATAGGAATTTTCTAAATAACTTAGATATTTCTTATATTTGAAATTCTATTGGTTAAGGTTTCTGACAGAATGTTTTAGAGGATATGACATGGATGAGATAAATATGACAGAGCACTAGCCAAGTGTTATATGTTTCTTGCATAGCGGACAGGATTATCTATCATTTACACCTGTGCTAGAAAAACATGTCTTTCACCCCCCATGTAAGACAAGTTGCATGCTTTAAATGACGTCATTGCAGTGTGCCTTTCATGAATGAATCGTGTTATTAAGATAATGCCATTTTACCATTATGAATGAAGTTCTAATATAAGAAAAAGTGTGTGTTTAAAATTTCAGTTTTTCGTAATTTCTGTACCAAAAAAAATTGACATGTAATATGCTCAGAAGCGATGGATGGGTTCTTTGGGTAATTTAAAGGGAAACATATAGTGATTGTTATAAATTATTCCAAACCATAAAGTGTAAAGGATTAAATGTTGTTAAGTTGCAGTACCGGATGGTGGGGAGACATGTTGTACTTTCTTTTATCTTTCATGAACAGGCACAGTAAGACCAATTTTGCCAATTACAGTCAGTTTGGTTTTTTGTTTGTTTTTATTGCTCTTTATGCGATGTAAGTTGGGAAAAAATATGTTTATTAAGAGAATTAGCAAATTGCGATTTAAATTGCTAAAATAGTCTTGAATTCAAATAACTATATCAAACAAATGTCCATTTTGTATTTTTTATAAAATAATAAGTATTTACAGAATGACTTGAAGCAGTAATACTTACAGGGCCCAATCTTAGCAGCAACATTTGGTCAGGTGATACATAAGAAAGATTTAAGAGATCTTGGTTTCAAATCCGAGCTGAAGGGATTAGGTCTCTGCTTAATTGTAGGTAAGTGTTTCTATGTGTCAAGGTCATTCACTAAAAAAATATACTTGATAAATATACATAGGTAAGAAATTGAATATATTTATGGCAATTAGACTAGGAAAGTTGAAAATACAGTTTCTTTAGTTTATAGAGAATTTATTTTAGCTTGACTAAGATAAAGCTGTAAGCTTATTGACACTCTTTTGAATCGTTTCCTGGAACAAACTAGTACTGAGTAATGAGTGTAACGTCCCTTGCTCAAGTTTTCACCCATACTGCTAGATGTCCTTAGATAAACAGTTTTGTGGCTTTTACCACATGGCCACTACTACAATTGAATCATATCTGTAAATAAGTCAGTTTTTCATTTACAAGTAAATAAAAATGGATTCTCAGAATAAGATAGATAACATACTGATTATTATATGTATTTGTATGAAACTGTTACATCCATGAAAAGCATGAAAGTAAAAGTTGGTTTAAACACACAGACACTTAAGCATGTTGTTATGCAAAAAAGTACATCTTTGCAAAAATTAAGAATGTTTTATATAATGAAATAATACATTTATAATAATTATTTTCAGGATTCTTATTTGGTCTGATATCTGGTGGTGTATGTCTTCATGGTGCTATATGGGGGAGTTCTGATTCTTATCCTACTACAGAAATGAGATCACGGTATGTAGCTTAGTGTATTATGTTTATTTTTGTATGATTTTAATGAGATTTCCCCCCTACTTTACCTTACACAAATGTGTTGCCAGGTCTTCTTAATTTGTTGACAATTCTGTTCTATTTGTTGCCTGTTCTTTTAAGTTACTTGCCGGTTTTATTGAATTTGTTGCCATTTGTATTGAATTGGTTCCAGTTGTATTGAATTTGTTGCTTGATCTTTTTAATTTCTTGTCTGTTCTTTTTAATTTGTTGCCAGTTGTTAAAGATAAAATACTTTTTCATGAACTTTAAACAGGGGTATGTTGAGAAGTTTATGGGTTGGAGTTTTAATAGCTGTACCATCTGGAGCAGCAGTGGCAATATCAGTACTGGGTGGAAATGCTGGATCCCTGGTGGGTGTGGCCATCTCAGCTTCACTCCTCCCACCTGCATGTAATGCTGTAAGTATTTGATCATTTAGGCCTTCATTTGATAGTTAAGATATGTTTGAATTTCAGGATAGTTTAAATACATTTGAAGCTCAGAATATTTTAAATATACAATGTATTTCCAGTTCAAGACAGTAGTTTATGGTAGTTTAAATATGTTATGAGTTCAAGATAGTTTAAATACATTTGAAGTTCAAGTAAGTTTGTTTGTTTTTTTTTCAAATAAAAACAACACCTCCATTTGAAGTTCAAGATAGTTTAAGTACATTTGAAGATTAGAATAGTTTATATGCATTTTAAGTTCAATACAGTTTTAATATGCTAGAAAGTCAAGATTGTTTTTTAAAACATTTGAAGTTCGAGATAATTTAAATGTTTTTGAAGTTCAAGACAGTTTAAATGCATTTGAAGTTCAAGACAGTTATAATATGCTAGGTGTTCAAGATAGCTTAAATACATTTGAAGTTCGAGAAAGTTTAAAAAAAAAAAAAAAACACACACCCCTGAAGTTCAAGATAGTTTAAGTACATTTGAAGATCAGAAAAGTTTATATGCATTTTAAGTTCAATACAGTTTTAAATGTGCTAGAAGTTCAAGATAGTTTTAAAACATTTGAAGTTCGAGATAGTTAAATGTTTTCAAAGTCACTCAAAATGTCGGCCTTTCGCTTCCGTAGCGTCTGTATCTGGGTTTTGCCGACGCCCATTTCCTCGCAATTTTGTAGGCTTGGGTGCCGGCATCAAGCTTTTTGATTGCCTGAATTTTTTCTTCAAGAGTCAGGACAATTCTTTTTTTACGTGCTTTGTCAGCCATATTTGTATGATCCGAAGTACCAGGATGTTTGTACATGTTTCTATCCGCAAGTTCTATCCGTTTCTATCCACACGTTATCACATGGTTGTAATTTACTGCTTGGTCAAGTAGATGAAATCATGAGATTATTTATTTTTAAACTTGGACAGTTATAATGACTAATAGCTTCGTATTGCTATCTTAATACACAGCAGTTTCAGTGCTATGGTTAAAAATAGTGACAATGCTCAATTAACACCTTTTGCAATGGTGATAAACATTCGAGACCATGGCGCTCAATTTTGACGGAAAATGTCAATTGAAAGCGAGAAGTGTGAAAAACATAATTCTTGTGAAAATGAAAAAGTTGTTAAGTTCGGTCATAGAAATGTAACGGGACGCTAAAGGGAGTCATTTAATTCAGTGACTTTATATAGTGATTTACGTTGGGCAGTCTAAAATAAGGTCGTATACGACAGGAAGTCGTTTAAATCAGTGAGTCGCTATGGCAAGTTTGACTGTATAAGGTGTAAAACATAGTCTTGCATGTTTTAACATTTGAAAGTACAGAAGAATAGAATTTTGAATTTTAGAATGAAATGCTGCTACAGTTTTAATGAGTACAGGGGTAGCCTAAAAGTTTTTCATGGAAAAAATTCCATGTTTTGTGAAACCTCATACTCCTTGAATTTATTGCAAAAAATATTATAATTCTCTTTAAACTAAGTGAGGTTGTATTTTGATCATAATATTTTATTTTCAGGGTATGTTGTGGGCTTACTCAATTCTAGCTGCCATTAAATCTCCTGTCATAAAGTCTGTGTCATTAATTGATGTTGGAACTATAATTAATAATGTAACTACTCCAGTTCCTAATACAGTAAGTAGTTCCTTCACATGTTTAAACTATGTATGTTATCATCTTTAAATAAAGATTTCTGTATTTTATTGTAGCTACATGTATATATGTTTTCTGAAATGCAAAAATTGTTACTGTCAGCATTTTGTCCTCAATAAAAGTCTGTATTCTGTGTGTTTTCATGTCGGAGCTGTAGAAATGTATGGTAGCTTATCTTTATAACTTTGATTTACTGTGAGAAAAAATGTTTATGGTTTATAATAATTCTATACTGTACCAGAATATAATTAATATCCTTTCTGATTAAGAACACAAAAACTCTTAGTAAACCAGATTATTTAAAGTCAACATATGATTTGTACTTTGAAATGGTATGAATAATGATTGTAATTTTAGGTTTAGTGGTATAAATGTCCAACATAAATACTTACAATACATGTACTAGATGTTGTGAAAATAAAGAAACAATGTACATTGTATAATCAATTGTTTTTGCATGTTTCAGCTATCATCAATGAACTCAAACACAACAATATCATCACCAGTGTCTACATATCAGACAACCACTTCCGTATTACCAGCTGAGAGTTGTCCTTCCCTTGTTGACAATATGTACAAGGAGGTGTATTTCTGTAATGTCTCACACGAAGCAGCTTTACTCGGGCTTATCAGCTTGTTACTGACGATAATAAATATCATTTGTATATTTTTTATGGCTATACTTGTGTTAAAGGTAAGTTTCTTATTATAGACACAGAAACTGATTTTAGTCACTATATGACTTTGACAGTGTTTCTGTAATTTTAAATCCAACAATAAAAGTAAAAACTCCAATCAATTAGTATATTCTATTTTATTTTATTGGATCATGAAGATTGTTTAACCAATTAGCATTTTGTTGGGCTTTTTAGCTTTGTAGTTTAAGTCCATAATTGTCAATTATAAGCCTCTCATTTGCGTGAAATCTATCCAGCTAGGTACCTTAAAAACATTTCATTTATCCTGACACGCTGTCATGTATGATAAAGTTTATTAAGAACATTGCTGATTTTTTCCTTGTCTTATCCATGCAGTGATTATGCTGTAGTGAATTGTGAAAAAACACAACAGCCTTATTGCTTGGTAGGATTTAGGTTGGAAAGTGACATGATATTTTACAATGTTTTCAGATAAAGGAAGTAGCCCCCAAAACAGCAGGTGTAGATACATTCTGGAGAGAGGATGTTCAGGTATATTTGATAATTATCAGAATAATGATACATGTTATAATTGATATTGAAAAAAAATATTGTACTGTTCATGATTAGGAACTGTTGTGAGATAAAACTTTTCTATTACTGACTAAAAGGTACGAATTTAAACAAATGTAGTTTTTATATGCCAGAAAGAATTTCGGACATATTATGTTATACCCCCTGGTGTCTGTCCGTCCGTCCGTTAGCAATTTGGTTTCCGGAGCATAACTTAAGTTCCATTAGGCCCGCAGTTTTCAAACTTCATAGGATGATTGCCCATATTGGGTAGAAGACCCCTATTGATTTTGGGGTCACAAGGTCAAAGGTCAAGGTCACTATAAAGGTAAAACTGAAAATGGTTTCCGGAGCATAACTTAAGTTCCATTTGGCCCACAGTTTTCAAACTTCATAGGATGATTGCCCATATTGGGAAGAAGACCCCTATTGATTTTGGGGTCACAATGTCAAAGGTCAAGGTCACTATTACCATAAAACTGAAAATGGTTTCCGGAGCATAACTTAAGTTCCATTTGGCCCACAGTTTTCAAACTTCATAGGATGATTGCCCATATTGGGTAGAAGACCCCTATTGATTTTGGGGTCACAAGGTCAAAGGTCACTATAACCGTAAAACTGAAAATGGTTTCCGGAGCAAAACTTAAGTTCCATTTGGCCCACAGTTTTCAAACTTCATAGGATGATTGTCCATATTGGGTAGAAGACTCCTATTGATTTTGGGGTCACAAGGTTAAAGGTCAAGGTCATTATTAGCTCAATACTGAAAATGGTTCCTGGGGCATAACTTAAGTTCTATTTGGTCCACAGTATTCAAACTTAATAGGATGATTGTCCATATTGGGTAGATGACCCCTATTGATTTTGGGGTCACAAGGTCAAAGATCAAGGTTACTATCACCTTTAAACTGGAAACAGTATTCGCTCAATAATTCAAGCATTAATCAACCTACAGCTTAAGTACTTTCGGGCATATAATGCCCCGCCTAGCGGTGCTCTTGTTAGTATGTGCAATATTAAAACTACTTGCTATGATTCTGTTTGCCTTGTAAAAAACAAGCCATTGATAAATTCAAAATGTATTCAGTTGTCTATTTAAGGTTAATTATCAGCCTCCTTTGTTCACTTGGTAGAGTCAATTTATTCTTACAGCTTTTTCATTTTCTCGAGACATTATTAATGCTTAATGCTCTCTGAATTTAGGTAATGTCTGTGATTCTACCAAGATGATAATTTGTATGTAATATATACCCTGTAGGTCCACTACCTTGAGTATTTAGCAACAGGAAAGACTGAAAAATTCCCATGTCACCTTACTATTGTGTGTCAGGATGACTGTAATCCTAATTGATAAGGTCTGGAGACATATTGTCACAGTTTCATTTCCAAGTATATATTTATCTATATGTTCACTGTGTTGCACATTTGTTACACTGTTGTGTGCTGGAAACTGTGAATGTCAACCTATGTCTGTATCTTCAAGCATTAGTGGGAACTTTTCTTCAAATACCAAGGTCGGAATTTAGGAATCATTTGGCTTGAGTTTTAAGAGAACTTTCTGTTTGTATTTTAAGGTGGCACGAGGTTACTACAGCACAGCTAAGGGCGAAACTTCAAAATCATTAGGTAAAACATTTTTAGAGGAGTACAAAAAACTACAAGAAGATTTACAAAAGAAGAAAGCAGAGGGTAAAAAGGATGACACAACTGATGATGATGATAATGATGAGGATGAGTCTATGAATGAAGATATGGCTGTTTTTAAAGTACACGGTTTCTTAGAGGTATGATTTCATTCTTTGAATACCAGTTGGGATAATGATAAGTTTATACCACAAACTTAAATGATGCCAGCATGAAAATGGAAAAATATAAATAAAAGCATTAAATATAAATTTATTTGCAAGATTATTACAAAATTTCAGCTTGTTTAGTGTTGAAGATAGTGAAAGGAGACTTTAAATGAAGGAGACCAGAGTATAATTACAATAAATAAAGTTTAGCCAGAAAATTCAGTTCAACACACGAGTTAAATCTTGATGTGTAAAGGTTTACATATTTCAAAGCTCTGTTGTAGAATTTAATAATGTTTCTAATGCCTATATGTCATGTGGTCTAAGACTTTAATGCAGATCCATTTTGTTAACCATTGAAATATATTTGAGCCGCGTTACGACAAAACCAACATAATGCGTTTGCGACCAGCATGGATCCAGACCAGGCTGCGCATCCGCACAGTCTGATCAGGATCCATGCTGTTCGCTATCAGTTTCTGTACTTGTAATAGGGTTTGTAAGCAAACAACATGGATCCTGATCAGACTGCGCGGATGCGCAGGCTGGTCTGGATCCATGCTGGTCGCAAACGCATTACGTTGGTTTTGTCGTGACACAGCTCATTTATGAAATCTTCAAAACTTACATTTTAGGTAGCTCAAATAGTCATGGTAAATTTATGTTCTTAAATTAACATGTTTTGCACAGGTTTTTTTCCTGACCCTTTATAAGAATAATAGGGGAAAACGTCTTTTGTCCAGCATAAAAATGGTACTTTCTTCTGAAACAACTGGCCATATATACTTGAAATATCCATGTAACTAGCTATCTGAAATTTGATCATTTGTGCTATTTCATGTAAATGTAGACAAACCATTAAACATGATATTATGAAGAAAAGGATGGATCATTTCTATTTATTATTTAAAAAGAACTATTTGAACAGTCACATATTAAAGTCCAGTAGTTCATTGCTCTAGCAAAGTAAAATTTCTCCTAGATAAATGATCTGGGACATTAAGTCTAATGGTCATTTATCTCTCACTGCTGATTCAGAAATCATATGGGATCAGTAGTCGGTCACTTGCAAAGAAATTGGGATTCACTGGTTAGTTATCCATGAAAGCTGGTTAGATAAACCAGCCATCTGGATATGACCAAAAATATGTAAAAAAAAACCCACACAAGTAAATAAATTCAATATTTATTCTTATGAAATATGCAGACTCAATATGGTCCATTTCTTAATATTGTAAAACACACATAGACATTTTGAGCACATGCATGTCTGTTGCACTTACCTTTGTCCGATGATGAAACATAATTCACCAACTCATTAACCAAATAACATGTATATTAAACACTATTTCCAACTTAAAATTTTGTTAAGAAGGCTGTTATTTGTTTCATCTTTTCTCCAAATGTTGAAATACAAGTATAAGCAGGACTAAGGTCTCAGGTTAATGCGAAGTAAAATCAGAAATAATTGCATTTAAGATGAATTGAAAAGTCTAAAGCGTAATTTTAGTTTAAGTATGGACATCTCTGCCGTATGGTTTTTGTAAACAACATAATCTATTTAAGCATAAATGTAAATATAATAATCAGAAAATGTTGTTCCTAACAATGTAGAACCATCTGTTTTAATAAACCTATTGAATAAAAAATTGATACTATAATAAGAGTAAGGGCCATGATAAAAGGGTATTCTTGCCCTCTTGTTTATTTCAGCAATAACTAATCCATTGAAAAAAAACACTGATATAAAACTTTATCACATACAGATGTCGCTTTTGATATTACACGGCTTTGTACATGTTTTGACGTGGCATTATTTTCTTTATACAAATCCAAAAGCCATGCTAAATGTTTCCGTTACACTTTGATCATGTAAATGAAAAAAGACGTTCTTTTTATTGCAAACAGTTCTTATTTTATTTGTGTGATAAATAGAATATTATAATTGTATAGCAACATTACCAAATTTCTTGAACTCTTTCAATAAAAGGATATAATACTTGCCAGAGGCTCTTCCCTAAGTTTAAACTTAAATTTCACGTGTTTTCTAATTACAAAATATCTTCTTTTTATTTAGGATGTTGAAAACTCCCCAGATTGCATTGGATTTTTATCCAGATTTCCAAATGTAAAACACGAGGTAAACAATTAAATTTAGTCAACACAGTCATTACTAGTAGTATGTTTCATGTTTATTTTAGAATAGTGAATTTATATTTAAATGGGACTAAGTGGTTAAGGTCATTTACTTCAAACCACTTGTCCCTCACCACTGTAGGTTCGAATCCAACAAGGTACTTTGGATTCTTTCATGTGAGAAAGGTATCAAGCTAGTGGACAGGATGTGGATGGTTTACTCAGAATTTTGTTTAGACAAATATTCAATGTTATAATAATAAACATTTATAAATAACATGTTATGAAGAGATAAGGATTTTGGCATCTTTTTGTGAACTGTAAAATAGATCACCACCATACTAGTAATTTGTAGCATCTTTAAATCATAACTGATTTTTTAAACCAGAGCTTGATTGAATTTCAAGTTAGCCAAATGATTACAATATTTTATGTTCATGTGACTATTCAATAATGATTAAAATCAATTATTTGACAATATAAGTAACTTGATACTTAAATGCAGTATTGCATTCACTTCAAAATTGTTTGTATTGTAGAGATTTGCAGGGGATTTGGACACAGAGTATGATCAAGCTGCTTTAAATCTGTCAAGTAGATTAGCCAAGAGACCTGGTGTATATCTAGCTGATAGGACGATCAGGGACAGGAGCTTCCAGAAGGCATATAATACAATACATAACGTACCGTCCAGTGAACGACCAGGACTTGCCGATCTTAGAAGTAAATTTACCAGGAGAAAGGCCCCTAGTATGTACATTGAATCCAGTTTTGCTGAAGACAATGAAATTGGAGTTGTGAATGCGAGACAATCACATTCTTCTTTAGGACTGACAAGTGGTTTGTTCAAGAGAAGAAAACAAAAGGTTAAATTTCAGGTTACTAAAGTGGAAGAGGAACAAGAGTTAGTATAAAGTTATGTTCTCTCAATAATGATTTATCTTCATAACCACACTCTCCTCCCATTTGTTAAGGAATATTGTTCTTTGCATTAAAACAGCTCTGCATTTTAAGTCATAATTTGCAGTTGTCTTAAAAAAGGGGTTCTACACATTTAAGTTTATGAGACCGTGAAATTGTTGCTAGATAATTAGATATTCCTTAGATAAATAGCTCTGTTAAAATGAGTACTTTTATGAAGGTGAAGTCTGAAGAAATTTTTTAGTTTGGAATTCAGAAATTTTGTAATAGCTAGCTATCTTTTGTAACTGATTGTAACTTTTACATACGGTATTTGTCTACTGTTTTTTTCTAACAGTAGTAACTGTTGTTTCTGTTGTTGGCTTGCCTTTAGTGATAATGATAAAAAAATCAACTACTTATTCTGGTCTATAGTTATATTTTGTTAGAATATTCATCAGGTTAGTTTTTATTACTAGATGAATTGTCTTGTTAACAATACCTCCTTTGATTATTTTTAATGATTTGTTTTGCCAAGTTAATTTGCCAAATTATTTTAAATCTGTATAATTATTTAGTTAGATTTGTTCTTTGATTTTTGACATGTTTATTGTTTTAAGAAATCCATTGAAACAATCCATACTGTTAGTTATGATAGACTTGTTAATTGTTAAATATATGTAATGTAGCTTTATATATATTTTATGTTTTAATATGTATGGTTTTTATTGGATATTTCTGTCATTTGATAGTTTTTTGTAGATGAACTTAATGTGATTACAAACAAAAGGGAGAGTTACTGTATTTAAGTTTTTTTTACAGAGTAATGTCTCCTTTTCTTAATGTCGTACACTAAGAATAGTCAAGCACACTGTCTTATGGACAGTTCTTGTTTTTTAAGTAGACTTTACAAAGATATTAATTTGGTATACCTGATTAAATGAAAGATAAAGGTTGAAATTTGCGGTTGAGAACATGTAGTTAAGAATATGCTGATACCAGATAGATACTTAGATTGATTGTTCTTTATTATTTTAGTACTTATTTTATATACATTAGAGTCATGTAAGTTGATTGTTTATAAAGTAATTCAGGAGAGTTTACATTTATAACAAAACACCAAATTCATAGGAATAGTGGAAGGAATATTCACATTTGAGCCGCGTCATGACAAAACCAACATAATGGTCTGATCAGGATCCTTGCTGTTGGCTATCAGTTTCTCTACATGTAATAGGGTTGTTAAGCGAACAGCATGGATCCTGAACAGACTGCGCTGATGCGCAGGCTGGTCTGGATCCATGCTGGTCACAAACGCATTACGATGGTTTTGTCATGACATGGCTCATTTATATATGACTGATGTAGCTTCATACAGCAAGGTTTCTAATGCCCTTGCTGACTCTGTAGAGAGTTATTTACTGTGTTAGTCAGATTTATTGTCAGTTCTACACAGTATGTCATCTTGATCATATATTTCTACTATCCTCAGTCATATTAGTAACACTGTTAATGGTCAACATGTTCAGGAAATGGACTCAAACCGTTTACATGTAGCAAAAAGTACTGAAAATATTTTAATGAAACTTGATATATGGATAGATGGCAGTATGGAGATTATGCACATCTTTTTCTTTTCTTCCTATGTTGAAAATTCTGGTTGCTATGGCAACAAATAGACTGAAAATATGGCAAATTTTACGCACAACCTGGATCCCACGATAACGCAAAAAGTACTGAAAATATTTTTATGAAACTTGATATATGGATAGATGGCAGTATGGAGATTATGCACATCTTTTTCTTTTCTTCCTATGTTGAAAATTCTGGTTGCTATTGCAACAAATAGACTGAAAATATGGCAAATTTTACACATAACCTGGATCCAGTGATAACACAAAAAGTACTGAAAATATGTTTATGAAACTTGACATATGGGTAGATGGCAGTATGGAAATTATGCACATCCTTTTCTTATCTTCCTATGTTGAAAATTCTGGTTGCTATGGCAACAAATAGACTGAATTTCAAGATTTCTGATTCTAGTTTTTAAGTTTTTTCACTATAAGTTCTTTATTTCTTAAGGTATTTTCTTCAAACTTTAAATATAAGTTGCTTGTCATCAACCACATCATATGTGACAAGGTTTACAACTCTAGCACAAAATTTATCAGAATTACCTCCCTTGAACTTAAAATTTTCATGAAAAAAACATTGTTTTTTTTTAATAACTTCTTTTTTTGAATGTATCTACTTCAAACTTCATATAAATGTTTCTTATTATCACTCAACATTTGTGAGTGTTCAATACTCTAGCAAGACTATTTCCAGAATTATGCCCCTTTTGAACTTAGACTTTTTTTTGAGAAATTGGTAATTTTTACTCCAACTTCTTCAATCATGATAGGATTTTAAAAATGTTATATTTTGATAACAGGGATGTTTAAAAAATAACTTTAGAGTGTCCTTCAGTCTGTCTGTCTGTACATAAAAACTGTTTCCTGTAATTACTTTTAAATAACTTTTTTAACAAATTTACTTAAAATAGGAACATAAGTGAATGGCCAATGGCCCTTCAGAATGTTGCTTGGGCTCTTACCGGTAGGGGACTTATTGATTGCTTGCAATACTATGATAATTGCTTGTTTATCTAGGTGTAGATAAATATGTAGCCAACGATAAATTACCATTAGTATTAAATACCATTTAGGTGGTATTAAAAATTACATTCCCATGAACAGTCAGGAATCTATTTTAAAAGATTTATCTTTATATTTATCTTTCTACATAATTGTATATACAGTGCAAAAGTTTGTGCATGTTACAATATAAGACATAGATATTGTTAGTCATATTGTTAAGAGAAGCTATATTTTTATGGCCAAAAAAATGTCCGCTTAAAATGTAATAAACTGATTGTCTATTACCAATTGTGTGTCCACTCTGTATCTTTTGAACCAATGGAAAGAAATTGGAATAGCTTAACTTTACCTTAAGTATAAATGTAGTTTAAAAAGACTTGTAAATGAAAAAAAAAAACACACATTTAAATATTGTGTATTTTTATTTTGTCATGCAGCCGGGTGTAAAAATGATGCAGCAAATTTGATCTAATTATTGTACTTCTGCATTAGAGAAACGTGACCAAGTCTAGCAATGGATCACAGGTGAGAGCTATAGAGCTACCATGGTCCTCTTTATGTTTCTTGTATAAAAATGTATATATTATGAGTTTTCATTTAATTCTTTGGCAGCTTTTTCACTCAGAAATATATTCCTATTATTCAGGATTTTAAGATTTTATTTATTGGGAAATAAAGAAACAACAGATTGCTTGACAACTCTGATAAAAATGTTGTTTTGTGACAATTTTATAATCACTTGTTATGATGTAGTATCATGTTTAGATAAAACATGTTTTTGAACAAAATTTCATAAGTTGCTTTATTTTTCAAACAAATTTGCATAGGGGCAAAAACTGCCTGGCTTCTGCAGTGCTTTTTTTTATAACCGGTAAGTTATACAATATCCAAAAAAGTGCTTTACATTTGCTTCTTTGTTCTTTTTATAAGGAATGTTAGGTGTTTTTTTAGCTCACCTGTCACAAAGTGACAGGGTGAGCTTTTGTGATCGCTTTTGGTCCGGCGTCCGGCCGTCCCTCGTCCGTCCGTAAACTTTTACTTTAAATGACATCTCCTCATAAACCACTAAGCCAATTTCATCCAAACTTCACAGGAATGTTCCTTTGGTGGTCACCTTTAAAAATTCAAAGAATTTAATTCCATGCAGAACTCTGGTTGCCATGGCAACTGAAAGAAAAAACTTTAAATATCTTCTTTTAAAAAACCATAAGAGCTAGAGCTTAGATATTTGGCATGAAACATCTTCTAGTGAGTGTCTACCAAGTTTGTTCAAATAAAAGCCCTGGGGTCAAAATTGGCCCCGCCCTAGGGGGTCATTGATTTTCCCTTTATGCATATAGTAAAAACTTAAAAAATCTTCTTTTAAAGAACCCAAAGAACTAGAGCTAAGATATTTAGCATGAAACATGTTCTAATGGGTGTCTACCAAGTTTGTTCAAATAAAAGCCCTGGGGTCAAAATTGGCCCCGCCCCGGGGGGTCATTGATTTTCCCTATATGCATATAGTAAAAACTTAAAAAATCTTCTTTTAAAGAACTCAAAGAGCTATGGCTAAGATATTGAGCATCAAACATGTTCTAATAGGTGTCTACCAAGTTTGTTCAAATAAAAGCCCTGGGGTCAAAATTGGCCCGGCCCCAGGGGGTCATTGATTTTCCCTATATGCATATAGTAAAAACTTAAAAAATCTTCTTTTAAAGAACCCAAAGAGTTAGAGCTAAGATATTTAGCATGAAACATGTTCTAATAAGTGTCTACCAAGTTTGTTCAAATAAAAGCCCTGGGGTCAAAATTGGCCCCGCCCCGGGGGGTCATTGATTTTCCCTATATGCATATAGTAAAAACTTAAAAAATCTTCTTTTAAAGAACTCAAAGAGCTATGGCTAAGATATTTAGCATCAAACATGTTCTAATAGGTGTCTACCAAGTTTGTTCAAATAAAAGCCCTGGGGTCAAAATTGGCACCGCCCCGGGGGTCATTGATTTTCCTAATATGTGTATAGCAAAAACTTAAAAAATCTTCTTTGAAAAAACCCAAATAGCTAGAGTTAAGATATTAAGCATGAAACATCTTTTAGTGAGTGTCTACAAAGTTTGTTCAAATAAAAGACCTGGGGTCAAAATTGGCCCGCCCCGGGGGTCATTGATTTTCCTTATATGTGTATAGCAAAAACTTAAAATCTTCTTTGAAAAAACCTAAATAGCTAGAGTTTAGATATTAAGCATGAAACATCTTCTAGTAAGTGTCTACAAAGTTTGTTCAAATAAAAGCCCTGGGGTCAAAACTGGCCCGGCCCCAGGGGTGTCATTGTTTTTAAAAAATCTTCTTTTAAAAAGCCCAATGAGCTAGAGCTTAGATGTTTAGCATGAAACATCTTCTTATGGGTGTCTACCAAGTTTGTGCAAATAAAAGCCCTTGGGTTAAAATTGGCCCTGCAACGTTGGGGGGGGGGGCCTTTATACAGGCGAGCGACCTCAGGGCCATCATGGCCCTCTTGTTTTATTATCTGCTACATAATCTGTATATGTTTTAAATGTTTTCCCGATTTTGTATCACTTGTTTCATGTTTTGGTATGTTATTGCTATTTACTTATAGCACTTGTTTTGTGTTTTAATTAAATACATGTGTTTGGTGTGTGTTTTTTGCAAATGTGTTTATAAGATATGGGTTGTTTTTGTTGTTGTTGTTTTTTCTCTCTGTTTGAGTATTTAGTATGTTATCCTATCACCTACATATAATTTGTTAAATATTTCTTATATATTTATAAACATTTATTTTAAGCTTACCTGATCACTGTACAGTTACGTTGAGCTTTTTTGACATGATTTTCTTATATATCAGTCATATGTCAGTCATCTGTGTATGTGTATATCAAAAACCATATAACCTAGTGTTTAAATATTTGACCTGTAACATGACCTTGTTGACACCTACAAAATTATTCAAACCTTGGCCCTAGTGTCAAACCTAGAAGTCTCTGTTACAAACTTAATATAGAAAAAAAAATGGGAAAAGAAATCTTATGAAGAACAGAAACCTTATGGATTTAGTTACTAGAAAAAGTATAGGTCTCTAAGGTGGCCATAAAAAGGCATTATATACAGTGTTGGTATGATGCTAGTTCATGTTTTTGTGCCTTACCGGGTGGATGGACCCTTATTAAGCATAGACACTTCTCTTGTTTCACAATAGATAGATTTATAATATAATATAATTAAACCAAGGTATGGGACTTGATTGAGTGATTAAGGACTCTTTTGTAGTTAAATGTTTTCTAAGAATTTCTTTTTTTGAAATTTTTAAGTGACAAAGCCTTATGGAGGTTATGAATACATGAATTATAAACTAAGTTATCTTATGGTATTTTTATATAATAATCAAAAGACAATCTTTATTAAGTAAACTATCGAGTAGCAGACAATATTTATTTGATATTTTACTTCAGTACAAAGCTTTTAGGGTAAAAGTGCATTCATTACACTGTATTCTGAACAGTTTCTTACCATAAGTACAATCTTTCATATACATGTTTGTTAAAAACCATACAAATCATTAAACCACCAGAACATAAATGGGGGGGGGGGGGGGGGGCTATACTGGAACTGTTGGTCTGACCTCTGCTGTTGAGGATTTTCTTCAAACTTTGACCAAATGTACACCTCAACAAAGCAGTAAAATCCATGCTGTGCTGCACTAAAATCAAGTAAACATTCAAAATGTCAAATTTTCTTGAAATACAGGTCATTTTTTGTGTATTATTTAATTGATAAAATGCTGCTTTTGATATAGATATTTGTAGTTTGAAAGGAAAAAAAAACCTAATACATTTTCACATCTATTTATAGACATGTTTCATTGATATTAAATGATAATGTCCAATTACAAAGAGAGGATACTCACAATGATTAAGTAAGTGTTTTATTTATCTTTAGGCAAAGCTGTAAATGTAATGTTGACAAATGAAAAATGTCAGACTCGTGAAATTAATGCAAAAATCACTGCATACTTACATCACAGATATTATTTAACTGACATGGGGAAAATCTTGCATTTCATGTTAGAGGTATTAAGTATTATATAATAATATCCATGATTTTGTTACAATGATTTATTTTGGCAATTTATGACTTGAGGTGTTTTGTTAGTCATTAAGCAGAGCTGATCAATCATTTAATAGTAAGGTTTAAATGTACTCATTAATACACACACAGTTACATAATTTGCATTTACATTGTACCATATCTAATAGAACTGATGTGTCAGTTCATAAAACATGAATAATGTCTTATTAGAAAATTTCAAACTTTACATCTGCTTAGCAGTCATCAGAGTTTTAGATATCTTAGTGTATTTATGTTTATTAATTTTACTTGATTTTAGATTTTGTGGTAAACTCAGTTTGTCAGTTTAATATTTTAAATGTTCTTTTGAGTTTTGGTTTTTACAATATTTTAATCGTAATTTTACATATTGAAACTTGACCTCTTTAAATTTGTCTCAAATATTCAATTTTTGGTTAGCAAATTAATTATACCTGACATGAAAGATGTTAGTTACTTGTTTCATGTAGACAGACTGAAAATTGTTTCATAGAATTTTTCTTAAAATTTGTATGATATTTTTATGCCACCGCAGCATCTGTGATGCGGTGGCATATAGCGATTCACCTGTGTGTATGTATGTGTGTGTGTTTGTTTGTTTGTGTGTGTGTGTGTGTGTGTTATATAGATTATATAGTGAACTTAAAAAATCTTCTTGTGAAAAACCACTAGTCCAATTTCAACCAAACTTGGCAGGATTGATCCTTGGGTGAAGGGCTTCCAAAGTTGTTCAAAGAATTTCATTCCATGCAGAAATCTGGTTGCCATGGCAACCTAAAGGAATTGTAAGAATAAATTTAAAAAATCTTCTTGTAAAGATCCAAAAGGCCTAGAGCTTAGATATTTTGCATAAGGCATTGTCTGGTAGACCTCTACCAAGATTGTTCAATTTATAGCCCTGGGGTCAAAT